TTTTTTAATTGAAACCAAGCCTCCATTTAAAAAAAAAAAAAAATTTTTTTTCTTCTTAATCGATTATGTTAAAGAAGAAGAAGAAGAAAAATGTGTGTGAAGATGTATTTATATATTATAATCATATAAATATTTGTGTTAAACTATTTTTTGTTATTCGAAATTGTTTAAAAAAGCACATACATGTATAAAATTCATTAAAAATCCTTCATCTTGCATACAATAACCCAAATCGATAAATCCAACTTAAAATTAAATTATAAAAAATTCCTCGATTCTCATCATATAAACACAACCAATTACATAACGAATAGCATTGAATTTTTATTATGTTATTTTTACATCAGTTAAGAAAAAAAATTTAGTTTTGTTATGTTGGATACATTAAAAACAATACAACACAATCAATCGAAATCAATTTACTCGAATTAAGAAAATTCTTCCATTCGAAAATATCACAATCATTAATTAATATCAAACATCTTCGACTTATCGATTTTGGTTAAATGTTCAAAATTATTATTGTTAAAATTGTGTTGTATTGGTTGTTGTTGTTGTTGTTGTTACAAACATAATTCATTATGAGATAAAAAAGATACTCATTCAATTTTAAATCCATTCATAATTAAAGTGCTAATCGTTTTTCTCTTTTTTTTTTTTTTTTTGAAAATTTACTTATTTAATTCACACATTGATTATTAACAACATCTTATTCATTCTATGATGCATAAACAATTAACATTTAATAATAAACTGGCTTTGAATGAGTAATTAATGATTAATATATAAAAAATTACCTAGTGGCTTGCCTCTTTAAACTACAATCATCCATATTTGTGTGGTTTTTGATTTCCAGCATGTGCAAAATGTGATAACCTCACCAGATAAAAATATCTGAAAAGAAAAATTATATTATATAAATATATATTACAGGGTACAATGGTGTGCATTTTGGTTGAATATGTTTGTAACAAATACTTGAATAAGATTCATTAAATAATTCTCAGATTAATCATTTAAAATTATTTTCAATTAGTGTTTGTTTGTTTGTTTGCCATGGAAAACCTGAGAGATTTTAATTAAATAAAAATCAAAAAATTTGTAAAAGCATTTTTTCATCATGGCCAAAATCTTTTTTTTTTTTTTGGTAAGATAATATTTAAAACGATTTTACATTTGCGGTTTATATTTCTTGAAAATAGGCGAAATAAATGACTACAGTAAATAATGACGTAATTTTCGAAACATTCTAATTAAAAAAAAAAAAAAAATAAACGAAAAATATGATGAAACATAAAGAGGGGAATGTAGTAATAATAATAATACCTTTTTTCTATTTGCTTTTTTTTTTAACTATTAACTTTTAATTAATTATTTATAAGTTAAATTATTAAAATGAATGATAAAAATGAATAAAATAATTTTAAAATCGTTAATAAATTATTTGAAATGAAAAAAAACTATGGGAAAACATGATAAATAATGAAAAACATGTTTCACACACTTTACAACTCGAAACACGGTTTACTAATGGCGTTCGTTATACAATGAACACACCTCAATATGGCGAATTCCCTCTCGAACCGGAAACCGATAAACCGGAAGTTTCCTTTGGCATTCGATATTTGTTTACGTGATTTCTTTTCTATTAAAAACGTTACGAAATTAATTTTAATAATAATTTAACTTTTTTTTTTTTTTTAATAATACGAATTATATAAAAATAAAATAAAAAATCTTTTTACTTATTTTTTTATATTTTAATAATAATAATAATATTAATCCTTGATATTAATATTGCATCCTATATTCGACACCATTTCCCCTTACCTTAAAAAAGAAAAACCTTTCATAATAATTAATTATCTACTACTAATGGTGGTAATTTAAAAAAAAAAAATTCGTTAAAAACTACTAAATAATAATAATAATAATAGTAATAATAATAATTATAAGAAATTTAAATGATTTATTTTTTTAAAAAAGTATTTATAAAAATTCATCATATAAAATCATAATTTTCTTCTATTTTTTTATTTTTTTCTTTTAGTTTTTGATTAAATAAACACCAAACGAAACGATTACTTTTAATAATAATAATAATAGTAATGATGATGATGATGATGAAACATTAATCAAATCATTAATTAAAATTATTAATTAATTAAACGTATTTTAAATTAAACTCATTTCATAATTATTTGCCATTACCCCCTTTACCTTTTTTTATATAAAAAAATAAATAATAATAATAATAATTCTTTTTTTTTTATTTTATTACTTTTCTTTATTGTTATTATTATTATTTTAAACGAAAAATACAATAAGTTAGACTTGAATAATAATAATAAAAAATCGATAATAATAATAATAATGATAATACTATTTAAAATCTACGCAGCAATAGTAAAGTAATAAATGTAATTGGTTATTATATATATATATATATATATATATATATATATATATGTATGATCACAATACAGCTTTTATTAGCATTTAAATAACAATAATAATAGTAATGATAATAATAATGATAATAAAAAGGAATACAAATACAAAAGGAATAATAATAATAAAAAAAAGTGTAATAAAAATAAATAAATAAAAATTAATAAATAAAAAAATAGACAATAGACAAAAAAAAAAAAAATTTTAAATGCTCAACATTAAAAATTTTTAGTTTTTAATTTTAAAAAATTATTAATAATAATGATAATAATGATAATAAAATCCCATTCAAATAAAAAAACAAGTCTAAAAAGAAAAAAATTTTTTTTTTTTTTTAAGTCAAAGAAAACAATGTAATTTAATTTTAATCCATTTTTTTTTTTTTGGTTTAAATACATAAATTAAAAAAAAAAATTTGAAAATTTAATTATAAATTAAAATCCATTTAAAGTTATTATTATTATTATTTATTATTTAATTTATTCGCGAACGGTTTTGAATGTTATTTTTCCATTGTCGTTCGTTCCGAAAGTTGAAGTTTTGTACGAAGTCGTTTTTCCGTTGACGCTACTCGTACCGCTGGAACTGCTGCTGAAAACTCCAAAAGTTCCAGCTCCGCTCGGTGCGGGAAGTTCTTCGGCTAAACGGTTGAGGAAGAGAAGGAAAAAAAAAAAAAGAATTAATAATTTACGGTTTTAAATGAATGAAAATAAAATCGTTTGTCGTGGTAGCAGTCGTAGTAGTAGTGGCAGTAGCACTAATACAAACGACTACAACAACCTTTTGCGTTTACTTACCTATTCTTACGCCCAAACCGTCAGGACCACCGGGGAAAGCGGAAGCTTGTCCGAAACCGCCATTAGGTCCGTAAGTTACGCTCGAACTGGTGAATGCAGTGTTGCCACCGTTACCACCGCCGACTCCAGCTCCGTGGGTACCGGCACTTCCGCTTGGGAATCTATAATTTTAATCATATCCCAACGATATAAAAATTATAAATAAATAAAAAAAAAATGCATGCGTCCTATTTAAAAAAAAGGTAATCGTTTCGTTAGCAGTGTTAAAACCACGTGATTTTTTTAATAATAATAATAATAACAGAACATGCGAAAGTGTTTTTTTAAAAAAACAAAACCTGTTTTATGAAAGGTGTTATGAAATAACAAACAATCGTGCTGCTTAAGAACAACAACAAGGATCTTTTTTTTTTTTTTTTATCCATCCATGAAAAAAAGGTTAAATCGAGATGAAAGTAAAGATCACCCCTCAAAATCCTTTTGTGATATTCAAATCTTGTTTGTTTAAGGACAAAATTTATACATTCTCGTGTTGTGAGATGCGAGAAACAAACAAACAAACAAAAACAAACACACGTAAAAATAATTTCACGTGTGTGCATGCACAACAGCAAAAAAAAAATATATCGAAACGATCGATCGATATAAAAACGTGCATCTCTTAATGCAAATAAATATAATAATAATAATAATAATAATAATACATTATCAAACAAACGACAAACAAATTTTAATCAAACGTCAACAACAGCATCATTCTTTCTCTTTCTCTCTCTCTCTCTTTCTCCAGTCTTTTAAAGTTTTGTGGAAAACGTCAAGCAATGATTAATAAAAAAAAATTCGATCGCTGTTGCTGTTGCTGCTGTTGTTGTTGTTGTCGTTGTTACCACAAACTTTTTATCGAATTTAAATTTTAGTTAAGAAAAAAAAATTATAATTTAATCAAAGTTAATCGACAGTAAATTTTTAAACACACAACAACCTCATTATTATCATTATTATTATTAATACAATTCGACTGTTAATTTTTTTTGTTTTGTTTGCAGTCAAGATTTTCCAAAAAAAAACGTGCAAAACAAATTATTATTATTATTATTATTATTATTATTATTATTTTTGTTTTTCAATGAACTTACGCAAATGGAAATTGCGACATGGCAGCTATCTGTTGAGCCAAAAGTTGTTCGATCTGCTGTTGAAAAAGTCTAATAAAAAAATATCACAATTTATTTTTATTCCTTTTATTTTATATATTCGATATCCGTTTCCCCCTCCCCCCACTCTCCACTAACCCCCCACTTCTATTTAAAAAAAAAAAAAAAAAAAGGTTTTGCGAGGAAACTTACTGATTGTATCCGGGATTGGATTGGGCTTGAGCTTGTGCGGATTGTAAACTTTGAACAAATTGACGGTAGAAACCGTTGAAATCGTTAAATCCAAATCCTCCGGAAAAAGGTGTCATTGGTGAGAATGAATTCATCGGAAACATGAAATTTTGTGATTGAAATCCGGTACCACTTCCGGTTCCGGAATACGATGTGCTGCTACTCGAACTGCTACCCGTAGCTAAAAATTATTAAAAATTTGATATTATCATTGTTAAATTTTTTTTTTTTTTGTTAAAAAATTCATTTCCGTTTCGTGTAAGAACAAACGAACGAACCTTTGACCCCCCCCCCTACCCAAAACCTTACGTTCGCTTACGGCGCATCGACTATTAAAAAATACCAATAAATAAATGAAATGTATATTGATTTATCGATTATGATATCATCGAACGTGAGCGTGATGATATCACGCCTACCTATACCTATTTTATACCTATTTTTTCCTTTTTCTTATCGACAACAGGAAGAAGATCG